TCAAATCACCTTTCATTCTCCAAATGGATCTGAACAGGCTTCTGACCCTTTGAGAAAGGCCTACCCTGGAATGGTATGCAAAAATGTCCAAATGATGCAGGGCTTGGGTCTATCTTAGACAGGTTCCTTCAAGAAATCCTTTGAAGAAACCCAATTCATGTACATCTCCATGATTTTGCGGGCTTGGGTACCATGGGCAGCAGAGTATGCGGCGTCTCTCAGTGACTGTTCGATCAGTAGCCGCAACTCACCCCACCTCGCACATCAAATTCTTATACAAAATATTTGTATTATTTATTGACATTTTAGTAAATATCCCTGGGGCCTCAGGGTTTCAAAGCCTTCTATATGTATATATATATAAGTTTTAGAACCTTAAAATCTACAATCTTTAGCTTTTGGGATTTCAACCACAACAATCCAACCATCTACCTGACCAAAAAGAGTGGCCCTCAAAGCCAACCCCTTGTCATCTTTTTAATGACAGTATATCAAGCAATATCATCATTGCATCAATAGAAAATTACCACTAAGTATGTATACATATATATATATACAAAGCTTATGTATATATAGTTATTGTAATAGATATAGTTATTGTAACATCTATATATATATATGTTATTGACGTCTGATTGTGCTAAATTTATGTATATATATATATATGCGTGTGGATATTGATCACTCTGACTGAAAGTTCCGGATGACTATCCATGTTCCCATGAACGTAAGCAGCCGCGCGCTTGTTTTCCCTGCTCACTACGCGAATTTGACCCTGAGCCAAAGTGGTGTTAGAGTTTCACGCTTGTCTACTGCTGTACATATACTATGTATGCTCTTGCTGCAGTGCTATTGACACCCCCACGTGTCCTTTGCTTTCAGCTTTGGACACACGAGCCAAAATTCAAGAGTAGTGCAGCGTGCAACAGGCTATTATGGTCGCCGCGAGACCCAAAGTTTGGACTCATACTACACGACACTATTTAAACTAAGCAGTCTTTTACCTATGAAGCGTGGAAACTAACCTATTTGGCTATGCAAATTAATTGTGAAAATCACAGTTAAAGAGGCCTCGGTCAGAATCTCTCTCAGTAGATCTTCCTGACGAGATAGACCGAGCTCTTGCGACTCTTTCAACTATAGAACGTTCACTTGTAGATACTCTTACGACTGTTCAAGGATCATACGCAGTGCGCTGACCTTGTTTGGCAGAGGTTCATACGCAGTGCGCTGAACTTGTTCTATCGTCCGGTATCTTCTTCTTCATCTTCATACTGGTGATGTGCTTCCCAGTCTGCGTTGTTCCAATCTCGATTTTCTCAATGCCCTGGATCTTGCCGGAGTCTTGGGTTGGTCCAACCAATGTGCATCTCGGAACTTTGCAGCGTAAATATCTGGGTTTGATGTTTGTGGTTGCCAATCTCGAGCATAGTTGTTCGTTTGTTCCCAAGTTCGTCGACCGTTTTTGCCCGTAGATCTTTCAACTTTCTTTTCCTCTTCCTTTTCTGTAGGGTTCTCTTGTTTGACCATGGTGACTTGAGGAAGTTGCTTCTGCTGGTGGATGTTCGACTTCAGGTGCAACGCTAGGATAGTTGGTTCGCCTCTTGCCAGGTAGCACGTGTGCTCCATAGTCAGGGTACTTGTCCAACAGCCTTTGCGTTTGATCTGGTTCCAATAAACTGTTCCACCGAACATCCTTGTGCTTTTATCATTTTTTCCAAAGTCGACTGCGCAAGCGGTGGCAAAGTGACTCTCGATTGATCCAGCGCTAGAAGAATAGTATACAATGTCCAAGGGGTGAATGCATTTATGCATGTCAGTGTCACCTAAATCATCTCGAAAGTAGGAGTAGGGTGTAACGTTGAAGATTGCGGTCACGCACTTCCTGACCATTCTTGACATTGCGTCTTGTTTCGACCTCTTGGTTTTTTCCACCGTTGCCTGGGCAGTGCCCGGCGGGTGTTGATCTTTCTCACCGAATTCAGCTTTGAAAGACGCAGGCGTGTACCCAAATGCTAGTGCTTGCAACGCAAATCTTCCGATAGCTCATTCTCCTCGAAACGTGTGCCACGCTTCAATGGGTATGAGCCACCTTGAGTCCGCAAAACTTTGCATCTGCTCCTCGGTTGGATCCAAAGGCATATCACCCTTGTCGAACCCATTGAAAACTCCATTGGTGAAGGCTGACGTGATATCGAGCCTTTTTCTGATGACATGTTGTTTGAACTCCGCGATGCCCGTCTGATGAAATGACCTGACATGGGGGTTATCAATTGAGACATACAGCGAACAACATATCTGCCCATAAGTCCTGATGAACCCTTCCCAATATCTTGGCGTCCGGCTTCTTCTTGCAAATCGAAAGGTATTGATTCTGGGTACCTGCACCATTTCGGAAGTTCATGTTTGGCAAGACGTTCTGGGTCGAAGGATCTTGGTCTACTGCTTTCATAATCTTCCCCATTGGTTCTTTCGCTTTTGGATCTCGTCTTTCGGTCCTCTGTTTCAACTTCTTCAATCACCTTGTCTGAAGACTTTGGAAATTCAGTTGTGCTTCTATAGATTGCGTCAATCTCATCGATCACCTCTTCGATCTCAGGCGCCTGGGAATCTCATCTACATCAAAAGATGGTGTGTAGACGTCTTAAGCCCCCTTCTGTGCGTCTGAGTTCTTCATGATATTGTCGATGAATTCCAAACTAACTGACTTCCTCGTCCTCATCGTCATTCTCGATCTGAGACTGCAGTGCAGTCTTGACCTCGTCCGTCTTCAACTTGTCAATGATATCTTGCTCCTCTTTGGCGGGATCCTTGGGTTGCTCCATCTCGACGTCATCTACCACTTCCACTTCATCGTCGTCGATCTCGATGGTGGTGGTTGTAGCGACGGTGTGCTTGACTCCGCAAGTATGGAACCGTCCATGGCAATGAAGTCACATTGTGAAGATGTTCGGTGTGACGTTCATGCGTGCAGGACAGAGAACGTTACCGTCAACATTGCTATAGCCTTCGCAAGTTCGAGCAATGATCTCATTCCATGGCTCCTTCTTTGTTCTTTCGGTGTCGCCATCATTGATGATTTCATCTAGCTTGCGAATGTTGTCGCCCCTTCTCGTTGCTCTTTTGTTGCAATCTTTGTTGGATAGGTTGCTGCTATGATAAGGTGGTTAGTACCCCCTTTCAGCAGCAATCTTTTCCAGATGCCTTTGCTTGGATCTTTGTACCATGCTCCTCTGACATTGTCCAAAGGTACTTCCTTGAACATGATGACATATGAGCTCTCCGCAAGGCGGGCTTCAGGGTTCTTCAGGAAAGCAATTGGTACATACAAGACCATTGGAATGTCATTGGTCTCAAAATTACGCTTGCTCGGCTGTCCCACGGTGCAAAATGGTTGAAGAACGAACTTCCCCTCGTACCTTCAAGTCCACCAGGTAGAAGTCCATGCTTCGTCATAGACGCTAATCTTCCAATGGATGTCACATGAAAGCTTCCTCGGAGTTGAATCATGTGATGTGAGGTGGGGATCAAGGACGACGCCCTTCTCGTTCCTCTCGGATTGTCGCGAATCGAGGTTGTGTGATGACACTGCCCTCATCGCCACAGGAAACAACCATCTGTCGTTCTCCTTGTAACACCTCACGTCATTTGGCACGCTATAGTTCTTTTGCCAATATGCTCTCTGCTCTTCATTTGTGACGTCATTAACAGACATACAGGCTAATCTGGAATTTGACACGGTTCTGAAGCTTCATTGGCGGTACCGTGTCGTCAATATCTCTTCCAAATGCCCTTGTCGTTCTTCATCTCTGGTAATGCGGTTGTTATTGTCATTGAAGATGTGGCCGTACATGAGTACATCATTGATATTCACCCATCCTCCCTCATTGCATCCTCTTCTTTACCCTTCGGATATTGTCGTAGGTCTGCTTCCATGAAGAAGATGATGGCTCATTCTCCTTAGCCGAGAAGGGTCCTGAATGTGGTGGATTCGTCCATGTTGCCGTCGGTGATATCGATCTTCCTTCGCCTTCCTTGTAGTCCATGGGATCTACTTCGGGGGACACAGGTTGTGCTGCTGGTTTATTGGGTGCTGCCGTTGATGGCTGTTCCCCTTCCTCCATTTGGCGCATCCTCTTCTTGTGTCGTTTCCCCCTCAGGAGGCGGTGCCTCTATGGGCACAGCACTTTGTGAACCTCCATGTGCAGATTTCATGGCAGGCACAGCCCTTTGTGAACCTCCATGTGCAGATTTCGTGGCAGGCGCAGCATCTGTGGAGCTGGAAGTTGAGAACTGGCGACTTTGTAGTGCAACTTTAGTGCGCGGAAATCTGCGGAGCTGGAAGATGAGAACTGGCGACTTTGTAGTACAACTTTAGTACACGAAGTATCTGTGGAGCTGGAAGCTGAGAACTGGCGACTTTGTACTACAACTTTAGTACGCGAAGTATCTGGGGAGCTGGAAGATGAGAACTGGCGACTTTGTAGTACAACTTTCGATTGCGCATGCCCAGTTGCTTCAGCACGCCGATGTGGGCTGCTGATCTTGCTTTGGCATAGACACAACTCAGTACGCTGTTGCGAGCTGCTGATCCTACAGGGAGCACAGACCTTGCACAGGTGGCGCTGTGTTGGTCAAGAGTCCGGAGCGCATGCGTCTGACTGAGGGACACGAGGGACATGCATGGTGGAAAGAACCGGGACACTCCTATAGGTCAATTTGTTCTTATAGGAAACTTCCGCCGCCGGCTTGCCCGGGAACTACTTGTACTGTTATATACTTTCGAATTGTCAAATCCTTTAAGAAAAAGCATGACATGGTTTTGGCGCGCAAGTTGGCTCCCAAGAGAATTGGATGTCACGCCGGCGCAAACAAACGAATGCATTGGGGGAGAATGGACTGGTGATTTGGTGTGATGCTGAACTGAAAGTACTAGAACATGTTACAAGCCTCCTGAAAGAAAATTACAGCCAGCATCAGCCAGCGAACAATGCAAATGCACAAACTGGACACCTTTGTCATCTCTGGCGCAAGCTTTGTTTGGATCAGGCTACTCTGTGTCAATCGGTCGAGTTCCTCGATGCCCAGACCTTCAGGAAAGAACTTGACATGTCGGAGCGTAAACTCTTACTACCCAACGTTTGCCTGCTTAGATTCAATTACGGCAAAACAGCTTGAGAGTTTTGAGGTCTCCATTGTATATCAATTGAAAGCTCTGGACTCCACAGAAGATGACCCTGAATCCTGGCCACAAGATCGTGAAAAAACAAATTGAGCAAGATGGGGTTCCAAGTGTCACAGCCTAGCACAGCAAATACTTATCAAAACCGATATACAACCTGGACGAATCAATGCTCCTTGCAATCTGCCTGCAACATGCCGAGGGAATGCAACAAACGTCTATCCTTTGCAGGCCTTCGTTGCAAAAAGTTGACCAACGGTGAAAGCTCAAAACTCTTGTCATTGCATGACCTCGTTGTATCTGCACAGTTTCATCTTTTCAACATCCTTCCACACTTTGATCAGACATTGGCGGCACCGTTTATGCATCCCTTATGACACCCAAGTTGTTATAGGTGTCCTTCGCTGGAAACCACAAAACTTACAAAACACTGCCCACACACATACAACATTTGAGCATGGATATATTGATTTAAACGTATACTTCTTCACCCAACAGTCGGCCAACGTTTGACACAAGACGCAAGACTTGTCGGTAGGACCATGTCCACTAGAACAATTCCAGCATCAACTCCTTGGTCAATCGTTGCGCTTCTGGCGAAGAAACAAAAAGGCCTGCAAGGGGGTGGCAATTCTGTTCTCAGACGCCCTGGCCCATTACCAAGCCACATGTGCACCCGAAGTGCGCTATCACGCAGCCATGCAAGCTGAATGTCGCCGAACAAAAACAATCAAATAGGAAGCCCAACACCTCATGTCTCATTGGAGGGCCCATGCTAACTTTGCGTTGAGCAAGTGTTTGGTCATTTGCCAAGTGTCGCTCAGTGACCTGGCAACAGGTGCGGCGTCACTTTGACAACGTCAAAGTTTATGCTTGGGCTGAGGTTTCAATAAGCAACATGGTGATTGCATGGCACACCACATCCCTACGACGACCGGGCCAAAAAAATTTCGTTGCCATGTTCAGTTGGTGACTAGTTGTTGGCTGATGAGCTTCACCTTCCCAGAATGTCACCGACCCCTGGATGTATTCAAAAATTGCAAGTGTTGAGCTTCTGAGGGGGTGCAACATGGGGGAGCACACTCCTTTGGGAAGACGAAGCCTGCTCTTCTTCCTCCTCCTCATCTTCCTGAAAGGGCAGTTGTCATTGTTCATCTGCCATACCCTACTGCTTTGACAGCTTGTTGTTTTTAACACGGATCTTGCAACCACAAAGACTAATGTGCCTGGCGTACTCCGAAACCTGCTCTGTCATGCCCCACCTCGTAGCTTTCGTACTCTGAATCGGAATACGACTCTTCTTCATCGCCTGTGGCTGGAAAGTCCTTATCGCGTGACAGCCTGGACAGTTTGCCCTTCAACGTCGAACTGTATTGTGTATATATTCTTATTGCTCCTTTACGCACCCCAGGTGCGATTGCTCATGGTTTCAAACCTCTTTGTATCAGCATCTGATGCCTGTAACATATCATTCAAACACAAGAGGGCTCGCTTCTTTTGGGCCCAAGGCCGGCCTGACTCATGGGTGGTTCACCTGTGCAATGCAACTTGACTCCGGTCATCTTCTGTACGTTCTGACCTGCTATTGCAAGCATGTCTTGCAGCGGCCGAAAAACTTCACGCCTTTGCTTCCGCTGATTCGCGGGCATTCGGCTTTGTGGACTTTCTGTCCTTCGGCTGTCACGGCCAGCTTCTCAGGCCAGGGAGGTCTCACACTCAGTTCATCTTTCAGTCGATGATTCTCCTGGTGGCTTTTGTGCAATCGATCCTTGTAGGTCTTGTTGGTCGTTCGCAGGCCTTCATTCAGCGCCGTCAGCTCATAGTTCTTGCAGTGCAATGATTCCAGCTGCTCACTGGATGGCGATGGCGTTGAGGTAGCATCAAAAAGATTCTTCTGCTGTTGCTGAAGCAGCTGCCGTCGAAGATCATCACGTTCTTTCTCCAGTGCTTTGATCTCATCAGCACTGACCTTCAAGGTGCTCTGTAGCACGCCATTGTGTCGGGTCCATTCGCCCCGTTGCCTCTTCAAATCATTGACCTCGTCGACGGTCGCCTGCAAGGTGGCGCTCATGTCCATTTGATCTTGAGCGGCTCGGGTGCGATCATCCAGCAGTTCTTGGCGCTGCTGCTTGTAGACCTTTGCGGTCTCTCGAGCTTCTGCCAGCCGTGCAGCTTGGTCTCGATCATCTCGTCGTCGACGGGTCCTTTCAGCTTCCTCTCTCGGTGTCATGGGGACGTCATCGTCCTGCTCCAAGACATAGGGCGCTGCTGGCTGAGGCAAGGGTGCCATCCTTGCCACCACATTTTGACCTTTGTGGAAGCACCATTGGATCATCGTCTGCACCATGATCGTGATCCCGATGGTGGAGACGATCAGCCACCACATTGGCGAAAAGCTTCCGTCATCAGCGCTCGCCATGGCTGTGTGCTTTTTAGTCATCGCCATGGCTCCTACACTACACGCCCCGAAAACTAGCACTCGTGGCACGGCCTTTGGGAGAGCAACTGCAGCGGCGCAGCCAGCGCTGAAGAGGATGTTCTGATTCGAGGTGGCCTGGTTCGATGTGGCCTTCTTTTCTTCAACCTCTTTAATCACCTCAGCATCGCTTCGCAACAAATGCTCCTCGTCAAGGTCATTGACCACGGGATGCTCCTAGTCAAAACAGGGTGTCCTGGCTCATTGCGGAATTGGATGATCCCACAAGACGGGTTCCGACACCATGGATTTCGTCAAGGGGTCTGCCGTCATACTTTGTGTTGGGACCAAACAAAGTTGTCGCATGCGGCCTGAAAGCCTGGTCTCCCTCAGGGACAAAATGTACAATCTCTGAGTTTTGTCCTGGGGCAAAGTGCGCATGCCAGTGACCAACTCAAAAACATGATTGCAATCTCCGTAGTCGTCAATGGGGAGCTTGTCGTGGCCGTTCTCCTGAACTTTGATCAACTGCGACAAAGCAGGCTCGCCAGGCAACATGAGCTCAGCTAGGCGAACCATGCAAAGAGTGGCAGCTTCAACACCTCCAACTATGGCCAAGGTCTCTCCGTGGCTTGTGGAATATGCAACACGTTCCTTGGCTCCATAGGAAATCAAAAAAAGTGCCACTCCACCATGCAATGCTGCTTGTGCATCTGTGCAAGCAACTTCATATGGCTGCTCATAGCCAAAGAACTTGTCATCAGCCATCAGCACGAGGACACCCTCCTGGGCATAGTGCCTGCCTTGAGAGGCGGATGAAGCATCATGGACTACCATGATCCGTTGATGCGATGTCTCAAACCTCCTGAAACGTAGGTGCAGGTGCTTGTCCTCCAAGGCGCGAGTCAGAATCTCATTGGCCTTCTTGATGTCTCGCACTTGTGCTGTGGTGACCTTGCTTTGCAAGCTGGAGACGTCGGCGATGATGTCAAGCCGGGTGGAAGTGAGCCAAAGCAATGCTCCAGGAATCGACCTGAAGTTGGTCGTCTCCTCTGGTGACAGGCGCTCATCGTCTCCTTTCTTTGGCACTTCTGAAGGACGCGTGCGCTCCAGGAAGTCGGTCTGCTGGATCTTGAAGCCCTGTGTGGTCTTCTCATACATGCAGCCACAGTGAGTGAAGGGCATCTGTTGACGTGTGACCTTCTTGAAGCGCTTGACAAAACTGTCATGCGTGCTGTCCAGCCAAGATTGCTTGCCACCAATTGCTAGATCATCCACATGGCTGGTGAGCACTAGGAGTGATACTGTCGCCGCTCTCATCTGGCTTGTCAGACTTGAACATGTGCATGTTCTCGTCCATCTTTGAAGGTCGTCCTCCACATTCATGTACAAAGTCGTGGAGAGCAAACTGCCAGGCCAAAGGAGCATCGTTCAAACCATACACTGGCTTGATGGCTAACAGTCCATACAAGTGCAAAGCATGCTCCGGGACCTGCAAGTTCTCGGCCTTCATCTCATTGAAATGGCGCCAGACGTTCATGGGTGGAAGCACAACAACTCGACGGGTCGGTGCATGAAGTCCTCGTTGCTGGAGTGTCTTCTTGATGTCATCAAAAGTGAAGCCCTTGAGAAAAGCTCCAGCAATGTCGAGGGACTCGACCTCATAGTTCTTTCTGGCACTGATGGACAGAACCATTCTCTGTGAGAGCCTGGTAGCCGTCGTGCTACGTGTAGCGAACTCAGACTTCTGCTCATCGAAGCAGCCTCTTGCGCAAAGCCTGGACTTGACCGGATGCTGCCGTCTGGATAGCGCTTCCACTTGCGGACCCAGATCGCATCCACAATGATCATCGCGCTGTCCATGTCTTCAAGGCGAATGCGTGAGTGCTTTCTCTTCAACAAATTGCTTCAGCTCTGAGAGATCTGCTGCCTCGATGAGTGGCCAAAGATCAGCCGTGAGGTCCTTCTCCTCGATGTTGTTGGTCTCTGTATCGACCTTGTAGATCTTGGCCGTGCGAAGGCATGCTCCGGCATCGGTCTTCCTCTTGGATGGCAAGGTGAAGAGGATTGGCAGACTCTTCTTGTGGTGCTCGATGAAATGATGGGAAGATGTCTTCATCGACTCCTTGGAGATGTCATACTGTGTCCTCCATTGCTCAGGGAAGCCAGTGTCGATGAGATGTTGTCGGTTGATGAGGTAGCTCACCTGCACCAAATAGTCAAGGTCAGATCGGACCTGAACCAGATTGGTCCTCGACTTCTTTTCTGCCGGTGTATTGGACGGTGAAGGTGGTGAAGTCGGAGTTCCTGGCTCTCCTCTCTTGATGCCTTGTCGTGGATCTAGATCCATTGCTGTTGCTTCTCCAGCTGCCGAACCTACGGCTGTCTGTGTCTGCTGCTGCGGCAGTGTGCTGGCGGTTGCTTGTGAGTCTCGATCTTCCATGTTCTGGTCGATGTCCATTGTCTTGGAGATGCTGACTTCTTCTGATGGCAAAGGATTGTAGAAGTAAAAGTAGATCAAGCATAGATCCTCACGGGCATAGTTGCTCACTTTCTTGATCTTCAGGTGGTTGTGTGACTCATAGGTCTCAACTGCGTACTGTCTGCCACCAGAAATCCAAGTCACCAAGATGCCGGTTGTATTGCTTGGAGGCTTGAAAGAGCGAAGTCCTTTTCCCAGCATGATGCCATTGAGGGTCTTCTTGCTGAGTGACTTGGCAACTTGTTGAGCTCGATCAAGAAGATCTTGGATGTTCGGGTTCAGCCGAGGAACATGTACCCATCGTCCATTCTTCCGTAGCAGCCATCCATAGTAGTAGATCTTGTAGCTGGCCAAGTTCTCCGTGTATCGCATCAGGCGATGAAGGGCGCTCCCGGTGTCATTGTCAGGGATCTCCACCATAAAAATGCCTTTGAAGGGTCGGATGTGTCGAAGGCCAACCAAGTAGGGTCGTCCCTGATATTGGATGACAGCTGTGCCCTCGTCTGTATCCACACGAAGTAGTAGAGCTGGTCCACGCCATCCAGGATCACCAGGAAGATCACGATGGAATTCGACTTCTGATGTTCCTGGCACCAGTTGTGAAACTTCAAGCTGATGTGGTCGTGACTTAGCAGCTCTGGCCACTCTTGTCTCTGCTACTGCTTGATGGACTTGTGCTAGTGCTGCTTGTCGGATGCGCATGGCCCGTTCAAAGACAGTCAAGTCTGTCTGTGTAGCTCCTCTGGCCATCGCACCATCATTCTCGATGTTGTAGAAGCCACGAGGAAGAACACCAAAGACTGCCATGCAAGGTGTCGAGCCGTTGTAGTTCAGGGTGATGTTTTGTGCCATGGCTGCTTCTCTGGCAATCTCTTGTGCTTCAGGTTGTAGGCCTTGTCGGATCAGCTCGGCATGCAGCTTGTTCATGGTGTGCTTGGTGAGAGCCACATGTCGTTCCACAAGACCTGTGCCAGTGTGCTGAGAGGCTCCTTGTCCAGAGGTGGTTCCTCGTGGGCATCGTTCAACGTTGAGCCGTTCACATTCTGCACCAGTCTCATCAAGCACCAACCGGCCAGGAGGACCAAAGACATAGATCCATTGGTGGAGGATGGATTCCATCAACTGCTCAGCTTCTTGTCCTGGAACCTTGTCACATGTCTTGTAGCGGGTCGCCTCGTCCAGGATGAGCAGAAATAGTTGAACATCCCATGTGAACAGGTCAATCTGTATGGTGTCTCCAAAGGTCGTTGCTCCTCCTGTGGTCTATTTGGCATCCGGACAAACTTCCGGCAGATGGCACATTCTTGCACTGATTGCGCTGCAACGTCCAAAACCTCTTGAGGTAGTCCTGCTCGTCGAAGAAGGTTGACAAAGTCTGAAGCGGGTGAGTGCCACAACCGTTCATGAAGACCACAAAGAAGTTGCTTGGCCTTCACACTTTTTCCTTCTTTGATCAGCTTGGGCACTCGATGCAGGACTCGCTTCAAGCTATAGTTGGGTCGAGTCGAAGAGGCTGAAGGGGATCTTGAAGTGGTGAAAGCACAAAATCATCAGCATTCCCCGTATCATCTTCTTTTTCAGCCTCTTCATACGTGTCAGCCTGAGACAGTTCAGCTTGAGGTAGAGCAGGGCGATCTCGAAGAGCAGGTGGACTCAGAGTTGATGGCATGGACGGTGTTGTAGGAGCAGGAGCAAGAGCCGGTGTGGCAGGAACAGGCTGTGCAGGACGCTTGTAGGTTGCAGGTGTAGACGGCTGTGGTGCCGATCTGTGCCACTGAAAGCTCTCGCAAATCTTGCGCCGGTCCAAGAGTCCATTCCGTGGCAGCACCAACAGCTGCAAGGCGCAAATAGGCCGATGAAATAGCCAAGTGTGGTGTAGGAACCCCGCGCTTCCAAGGTCGAAGCTCCAAAGTGCATCCACGAACCTGCATGTGGTCAGAGAAGATGTACTTGGAGATCTCGAAGTGTATAGGGTTCACACACCAGTGGATGTATTCCATCTTGCGCTGCGCTGATTCATTGAAAATGCCCAGAGTCTCTCGCAGCATCTCGATCATCAGCTTCTTGAAGTAGAGCGACTTGTCCAACGACAAAGGTGGCTGCAGGAAATCTGGGCTCTCTATGTGCTGCTTCCTTCCAAAGCTCAATGGGCGTCTTCTTGGCTTCCTCTTTGGACTTTCGTGCAAGTTCTCTGGGATTTGTGCCTGGAGCCCATTTGCCATGACGACATTGTCCAGGTACCAATGTATACTCAAGACCTTTTGGAGTGGCGCGTCCATGCTGGCAACGGATGCAGTCGTAGAAGTGCTGCGCAACATGAAAGTGCAATGAAGACGGCCATGGAGGCAGGGACAGCTGATCTGTCTTGTTGAGGTAGTTGATGATGTCCTGCCTCATCCTTTGGCACATCTGTCGAAGATACACAGCTGCCGTAGTTGTTCGTAGATTGCCATCTGGTCCACGACCTTGTAGATGTGCATGACGATGGCCTCTGTGTCCGTTGCAACGTAGTGCAGTGTTGCGTCACTTCATGTTGCTGCCAAAGCCAGTTGCCTTCTGTATTGGATGTTGCTGCTCGTCGGTCAAACAGTGCATGCATTGATCGACTCGTTGAAGAGCTCAATGACCTGGAACATGATGTAGGCGAAGTGGGCTCTCATTGTCATCCCGCCACATAGCTGAACCAAGTGGCTGTTCAACACCGTACACGTGGCCATCTCTGGATTGTCCTTCTGCAGCTTCTTGAACAGCAGATATGGCTGTGTAGTCACGTAGACGATCTTCATGGCGTAGTGCCGGATCTTTGCCATTGCTGCTGATGCTCCAAGGGCTGCAGTCTGGTGCCATGTGCATGACAGCTGGACAAAACTCTTCTCGGGCTTGGCGTAGCATATGAAGATGACCATCATCATTCAAATTCCAGCCATACCTGTAGTCAACAGGAAAACCTACGAGAAGGCCTGCTGTCAAAAGCACCAAAGACAATCGACAGATCCTGAGAACCATTCTCAGAAATGCCAACGAAGTCCAGAGCCACGTGCCTTTGCGAACCACTTCTGAAAGTTGTGTGGGCCAATTGGTCTGAGCCCAGAACGAGTGTAGAACTCCTCCGGGATCGCACGATATCTTGTCTTGAGCTTGGCCTGATCAGCATCATCTGGAAGAATGTCCTCAGAGTAACCGGGAAAATTCTCCTCATCCTTCCAGTATGAGCCATAGTGGTTCTCCTTCTTGCTGTCTGCATTGGAGTCAGGTGATGAGTCAGGCAAAATGCCTTGAGTGAATTCTGGTGATACTTGTGGTGATACTGTCGGCTTCTCTTTCTTCTCATAGTGCTTGGTCACTGCGTCCTCTGCGCTGTTCTTCTGCAAGTCGTCCTTGACCAAAGTTGCTGGTGGATCATCTTTCTGACATTCATCACTGATCTTGTCCTCAGCGAAGTGCACCTTCTTCCCCTTCTTGTCTGCATTGGGCTGATTGGAATTGCCCCGGTCACCTTCCGTAGTTCTGCCTGTGCTTGATGACTCTGTTGAGTGCAAGGCCGCAAAGCAATGATTGACCTTGACGTCGTTCCATTGCTCCATGCTCTGTTGTAGAACCTGTCGGCAGAAAAGGATGGCCTCTTGCTTCGTCTCAGCTGCAACTCTTCCTGTTGCATCATAGTCCGTCGGCAGGATGTAGTGCCCTGAGTCGTCAGCAAGAGGCGGAACATCTTGAGGGCAGGTGTTGCCTCTTCATCTTCTTCACTGCCAACGATCATCAAGCCATCGCCATTTTTGAACCAATTCATGAAGAGCTTGGCGTTCAGGCGCCGTAGGGCAGGGTTGCCAACCAAGGCAGGACATAGTGAAGCTTGTCCACCGATCATCTCACCTGTGAAGACGATGTCGGAGCCACCAACAGTGAGTGGAAGATTGACTTCTCCCAAAGTGCTGTCTTGGCCTCCATTGATGCCGCTCACAGGAGTCGTACGGTCATAGTCCATCTTGACGTCGGACTTCTTGTGCTCGGGGACACAGCGTTGGATCATGTCCCTCAGGGTCTCCGTGCCAATGAGGGCAGAGGCTGCACCTGAGTCAATGATGAGGCCCCGACGTGTCTCACCTCGTTGTGGCTGGACGACAAGGTCTTGCTTGGCTTCTCTGTTTTCTCCACACCCTGATGCTGCTGTGCTTGATGTTCATGAAGTCTTCATCAGAGGATGACGCAATGTTGTACTGCTCGGTATTGGATGTGGATGCCAACAAAATGGTGGGCGCTCCATCCGTAACATTGAGCCCTTGTGGTCGAGAGCTCACTGGGTTGACATAACAGCTGTTGTAGCCCTTGTTTTTGCCGCCTCCTTTGAAGCCCTTGCCATATCGACCTTTGCCTTTTCCTCCGAACTTGCCCTTGCGGAAGCCTTTACCTTTCCATGAGGGTCTGAATGGAGGTCCACGGCAGTATCCTGAAGACTTGCCTTTCCCTTTTCCTTTTCCGCCTCCACGATCATCTTTCATGGGACAGTCAGCTGCGTGGCGCCATCGACTGCCACAATTGTAGCAACCATCATGGCTGCCCTTGCCTTTTCCTTTGTAGAAGTCGTCGATGGTCTCCCCTGCAGTGGATGCTTCCTGAAGTGGTGCTGCCGCGGTCGATGGAGGCTGTTCACTCATAGAGCTGGATGGAGGTTCTTCAACTGGTGATTCATCATACCAGTAGTCCTCATCATCCCAGAAGTAGGAATGTCTTCATCGCAGTTGTCGTAGGCATACTCCTGCCAACCATCTCCGGGACAGTCACCATAGCCCGACCAGTTCTCAGAGTATGCATCCCAGCTCTCATCATAGTCCTGCCAGGCATCATCATCCCAGCTGTTCTGGTAGAAGGCCATGTGTTGTCTTCAGGCTTGTTTGGTGACAGTCTCAATGCCAAAGATCGAGCGTCGCTGTAGCGTCTGTAGTCACCATGGACCTGGAGCTTGATGTCATCGATCTGCTTGGAGCTGAGGCCGGAGTTCTTGAAGAACAAGTAGAATTTCCCGACCTCATTCAACTGCAATCCAGCTCGATCGCTTGCCTCCTCGTAGCGGGTGTTAAACTCGACCGAATACTCCGCCAAGCTGGTGCGTCCACGGGCCAAGGAGAAGAAGCGATCAAGGCTCTGCGTCGCCAAGTCCTGGTCTTGCTGCGAAAGCTTCCTTCAAGGCATTTATCAAATGCTGGACGCCACTTGGGATGTGCTCCATGAGGATCTCGCCCGTGACTGGGTCTTGGACTTGATCTACTGAAAGACGCACAAGAGCTGCATCTCCTTGATCGTAACCTCCTGGACCATTTGGAGGAGGTGGTCGAGGAACCTTGAGCTGGCAAGCTATTCGATGAGCTGCTCCATGTAGCCTTCCGGCTATGAGAGGTCCGACAACTTCGTCCTCTCCTGAGTACACTCTGTACCAAAGCCTCAACTTCTCCAGGTAGCTGCGAAGACTGTAGTTGGGATCTGCTGGAATCCAACCTGGAGGAACATCTCTTCTGTACTCATTCAAGGGCAAGGCTCCGGTGGAGGAAGTAGGAGGTGCTGCCATTGCCAATGCTCCTCAAAGGATGGATGAAGTGGTGCAAACCACGTGCTTGATCTTTGTGATGATCTCACCGTCTATGGCCGTGACCAAGCCGAAGGTGCCGACAAGGATGTGGGTGTAGTCACCTGGATCAAACCGGTCTCCCACGCCACACTGATGTGGCTGCCGGCGTCAGCGCCGGCCCGTGCCACGAGTGCACGCGGAGCAACCGCGCGTCAGGGTTGGGAGCCGGGCAACTGAATGCCCGGCTCCGCTGACAAACTCGCTTCTTTTGGGCCCAAGGTCGGCCTGACTCACGGGTGGTTCACCTGTGCAATGCAACTTGACTAGAGGCACATAAACGTCTCACACAAAGCAATTGTTTTGAGACGCTTTGAGTTGAAAGTGCCGAAAGGATTGAGCTACAGGTGCAAAATCCAAAGCCCATGCATGCAAGACTGCTGGATCCTTACCACAGGACCAATTGTTCATGCCAATCTAGGGCACTTCAATAACTTTCAACTTCACAGATGATTTGAACCAGTGACCTTAGTGGCACTAACTTGGCACCAACATTCCACTTTTGAACATCATCGGAATTCTTGACACATCCCAGCTCCCTGACTACGTGCTCCTTCACACCCCTGTCGTGCCTGAAGAGTCTATACACTTTGCCTCATCAAAGGTGAAACAACAGGTTTTATCTTGATGAAACACGGAGGAGAAGACTTTCTGACAGCAAATCCTGGCCCTCGCATAGTGTCCTCACTTAGTTGCCGGGCTTCTGTCTTCGAAGCGGACTGTGGGGCCTGTTTCGCGCACAGCTCTATTGGTATATACTTGACGACGAGTGCAGGGTGCGTGGCTATGGAGGAGTGATAGGGGGCAATTGAACACTCCAGTCAAAGCAAAATCACGTATGGGATCGTATGGGTATTCCGGCAATCGTTCAGTGTCCAAAATGTAGAGCCATCTTTCCTTTCATGAGTGTATGCTTTATTCCTGTTACATCGCAACCCTGCGCACATAGACTAGTCCGATACACACGATTCGTTTGACTGTCCTTGACTGTCCTATCTACCCAGATGTCTCTATATATATATATATATATGTCAGGTCTAGACTATCCAAACCAGCCTGAATGCTGTGCGACCCGGTTCTCTGCAGCTGGTGTGATGGACGGGCTCGTGAAAGCATTTGAGGTCTAAGGTCCTGTTACAAAGATCTCGCAGCACCCGCTAGCAAACGGGAACGCGCAGAGTCTGGACCCTCTAAAAACAGCGAAAGTGTGCAATTCAAACCCAAACCCAAGACAAACACGCTCGCAAAAAGAGTTCTTAGGAACACTGTTAGGACGAATTTAGCAGGGGTTTGGAAGCACCCTAATACACACCAAATGTATGGGCATCGATAGTTTGGAGCTAGAGTATCAGGCTTAATAAGCTCAACATTAACACATTAAAGAGTTCTTAGGGTCTGAAAAAACATGTTCATAATTGTACAAAGCTAAGCAGGGGTATTACCGAAACTCATCGCAGGAAGCAAGAAGCATGTGATTGGAATTGTTGGCACGGACCCGGCCCAATCGCCCACTTCTACTGACACCTGTCATTACAGGCTTGTGCAAATGCCACTGAGTCGCGTTGGCCAAATTGCCCAAGATCTCATCCCACGGGTCCTTCCAAAGGGCTCCAGCCCAAGCACACAATTCTGTGGGCTACATGTGGGATCATAGCTCGGCTTAACGGACCTAATGGAAACACAACATACATTGATGATCGCCTTGATTAATTAGTGAACTAGTGCAGCCGGAGCGTGTCCTAGTTGCCTTCTTACGCTTTGGAAATTAAATTCTGAGTATGATCGGATTTATTGAAATATATAATACATGGCGACAAAAACAGTGCAGTTGTAACCCTTTCCCACACACAAACTTTCTACCTTGCCCTACATTGAAAAAGCAGCCACCAACGAACATTGCCAGCTACACGGTTGTGGTACAGCAGAAGTCAGGATGAATTCATGATTTGACTTGTTTTAAGAGCGGTGCAAAACATGCCGAACCTCAAGAACCACAGATAATCACAGCTGGGTTGCTGAAAAACAATTGCAAGGAGACTTTAAGCTGACTTTAAGCTTGCAGTGTTTCAGGCTACAAGCTCCAACAAGTCCAGGACTGTCTGAGAACATGAGGAAAAGGACAGGATGGAAAAGGCATGTGGACAAAGCAATTGCCTCAGGTGCCTGCCAAACTGAAGCAAACTGAAGGAAGAAAACAGGGCACAAAGCACGGGAGGGTAGCTGCAGTTCAGTATGCATCAGAAACTTGCAGGGGCTTTTGCCCAATCGTGAACAACGACCTCGTTATTTTTCTTCGTGTCAATGTGCACCGAAGTGGGCAGGGCATCAATATGTGGAGTTTATTTCACCCTACATTAGGCAGCTTTTCTTCATCAAAGTCAGCCCCAACCAATATTTATGTGTATATATATAAATGACTGGAATCAAGGACCTCCAACATCCTGTAATGCTCCCACGCCGCTCTTGTCTTCCAATGCAACATGCACAAAAGGTGCCAATGTATCCAGCTAAACCTTCGTCAAAGTGCCTGAGGCCACCATCCAAAAAAGGCTTAGGTCACCTTCAAAGTCTACCTCATAGTGAGTTCTTGTTTGAAGCATGTGGTTTTAAGACATGCAAACAGAGTTATTAAAAAGAAACAGTAGCAACAGTATGGAATAGCAAAGGATGTGCTCCAAAATTCCTTTACAAAAACAAAACAAAACTTAAGACTTAACAGCTGGTCGCATGTCTGTTCGCTGTGCTGACACACACTCATGGATATGCGTACTGACTTGATTGCGGTGCCACACGCCGGCCTAGGGTTCCATTTCCTAAGAGTACGAGTACGAACCACGGGATCCTGGAGGTCTTCAAGAGGAAGTAGGGCCCAAAAGGAAAAGAACGAACGAACGACGGACGAGCAGGCTGACGGCGTGTCGCTCTCATCTGCAGGTCAACGAAAACATCAAATCTGAAAAGCTTCAACTCTTCGAGGTTCTTGGCTTAGCCTCTCGCCATTCAAAATGGAAAAGGAAAAAGAAAAAGCAGGAAAAAGAAACAGCAGGTACGTTCCCGAGGCGTCCCTCAGGAATATCACAGCACGATGGAAGGGTCTTCGTTGGGCAATGCCTTCCAAAGTGTTCATTGCCCCCCTGCTGTAAAATGAACAACTGCGAAAGCATCCCTATGATTCCAAGGGTGACACACACAC